ATTCTGCTGCCTAGATATATCATGCAAAGTTACCTTAAGTCCATTGTATGACCCCTTGTAGCGGCATGTCGAGTAGCCAAATTAGACCTGGCCCCCTCTAAGCACGCATTTTCATTCGGTCTACATTGCTCTCCGTCGAGAAGGGTAAGGGTATCATGCTTCTCGGATGCAAAGAACGTGTTGTTGACATGGGAGCCGACGAGGCTCATTCGGCGACCAGTGCCGTCGTGGAAGTGCCATCTCAGTAAGGCACCGTGACCGTAAATTAGCAACCTCTCCTTCCGGCCTCTTGTATATCAAATATAGTATCTAATCACCCATCTAGTCGCTTTGCTTGGTAGTGCCTACATAACTTGCGATACTCATGGCGTAATTCGGTTCTCGACTCTAATGCGATCGCTCGTGTTTCCCATACTCCTCTTGACGCTCTTGTTCGAAATCCAAAACTTCTCCAAGGACACGAACCGATATGGATACAGAAACCCTCACTCGATACGTAGCCTCGCCGATGGTTTGGCCCAAAGTTCCCAAGAAGCTCGTCTTGGTTCAGGAGCCTGGTCTTGGTCCTGACTTTGAACCTGTTCTGCAGAAAATGAGCGATCCACTCCACTCAAACAAGCTGATCTACGTCGAAAATTCTAGCCAAATTGACTCAACTCGCCCCGTTGATTACCATGGAAAGTCTCACGAAAAATTTGTCTCAGCTATTCCCTTGTCACAGGTGGCTGCCTTGTCCTTCTTCTTCCCCAGCATGAACTACATCTACTTCTTCGACGCCATAGCCAAGTCTGAACTCGCGAGCATTCCGCTTAATATGCAACAGCCTCTCTCGTTAACCGGCGCTGCATATACCGACCGGAGGGGGACGAACTCATTGGTCCCTATTTCCTCTGGATTATCTTGATTATCCAGATGATTCTTTACGCCCTAGCAGCAGTCGAGATCGAAGCTCTTCTGCACGGGAACAATCACCACCGTCGATCGTTCAGGAATACGGACGAAGCAGCCAAGTGTCACGTCGCCATCGAAACTACGAATCTCAAGAAACACTACCGACCTCCTTGGTTCAAGAAAACCTTCTGCTGCGCCCGGCCTCCAAAGGCTAAAGCTGTTGATGGCCTGAATCTTGTTAGCCAAAAACGTCAAATACTTTGCTTGCTGGTTCCCAATGGCTCTGGAAAGACGACAACTCTAGAAATGCTAGCTGGTTGGCAAACACCCACAGGTGGTTCCGTGCAGATTAATGCAGAGTCTTCACAACTAGGCAAACTACCATACAAATTCACACCGAGAATCTTCGCTGACTTCCTCAGGTATCTGTCCTCAACGTAACGTTATGTGGGATAACCTCACCGTATACGAACACCTTGTTATATGGAACATACTCAAGGGGAACATCGAAGACCGAGCGACTTTAGAGAAACTAATCGGAAAATGTGACCTGACAGACAAGAAAAATAGCCTTGCGCAGAACTTGAGCGGTGGCATGAAAAGAAAACTACAGCTAGCATGCATGCTTGTAGGTGGCTCTTCCATCTGTTTGATGGACGAAGTCACTTCGGGTCTCGACCCCCTATCTCGCCGTGTCATTTGGAACGTTATCCTTAGCGAGAGATCCCGAAGGACCATGGTTCTTAGGACTCACTTCCTTGACGAATGCGAGGTATTATCAAGCCATATCGTCATCACTACTCTAGGGAAGCTGAAGTGCCAGGGGACACCGACGGAGCTGAAGAACGAATACGGAGGCGGCTACCGCGTTCACATACCGAAGACAGAGGATGTATCAAGCTTGTCGTATCCTGTCACGGAACAACACGACAGGTTCATCTGCCGAACTCCAGACTCGGCATCCGCCGCCCAGGCTCTAGCATCTCTCAGAGACTCTAAAGACTCGGAATTGTATGTCACCGGACCTACCATCGCTCAATTTGGTGGGCGTACCTCTTTGCCCTGGCCGTTCCGCTTGTTGCGACCCATTTTCTCTCACCCTTTCTGAAAGACTTATCAAATCCCCGACTGCGATAACTTGATCACATACGATTCCTACGATAGCCAGATGAACTTGCAAGACAACAGCAACTTGGCCATTGTCCCCCCATCTATTAACGTCACCGTCGAAAGGGTCATCAAGGCCACGAACGACAACCAGAACCGCTGGCGCTATTACGGAGGTTGGACCTTACGTGTCGAATTCTCGAGATGAGGTCATCGAACATGTTCGTGAACATTCCATAATCTCACCTACGATGGTGGCGGGATGTGGATCGGCAACGACTCGACTCCCTTCTTCGCGTACCCGGCGACGTCCGGTCCGACGGCGTCCTCCCAGCTCCTGAATACTATTAACCAGGTCCGCGGCAACGTATCCATTGCGGGATACACTTCAAACTTGCATTCCTATCACCAAGCCGAACGCGGTGAGAGTACCTAATGTTTTACGTGACGATCTTCTGTTTGCTGCAGGCCCTGTACCCTGCCTTCTTCGCTTTCACATTCTAGGGTATTATGTACGCTCTTTCGATCGTCACCCTGTTCTAAGACTCACAGCAGCGAGTACCACGTGCACCTGATGTTGGCCAGCGCGCCGCTGTCGATCGCCGACGAGATGCGCGCCGTCGAGGGCGAGAGCCTAGGCGGCCAGGTCTGCTTCGTGGCACCCGCCGATAGTCGGGTGCCGGCGTCGTACCGCGGTCACGGACTGGAAGACGACGAGATCGGCGTGGCGGAGTCCAAGCCCGAGCCGAGCGGACATTCGACGCGCAACTTTACACGGTACATGATTGAGACGCTGGAAGCGCACAAGGCCGAGCTTCGCATTGCGGCGTACTCGATCTCCGCGGCGACTATGGAGTCGGTGTTCATGAAGGTTGTGAAGGAGAGTGACGCTGTCGAGGATGAGGACCGGGAGAAGAAGCGTGAGTGGCGGTTTTAGTTGTTCCCTATGTAAATAGGTACCCATGAATTAATCACTTTCTATGTCAAAAGATTTCCAGTTCTTTCAATACTGGCTATACCCAGTCAAGTTTTATGAATGATATCCGTCGCGGATGTTCTGATAGAAAGCTCGGCTATGTGTTGTACCAAGCTCTCGTAGGTAGGTACCCTGAGCTCCGTTTGTCTAATAAAAGGGGCACTCCCGGCGCTCACTGCTGGCTTCGTAACCTTCTACCGTTCCCCTAAGCTAATGATTGCAGAACATGGAAAGTCTCCTTGTTTATTTCATTTGTGGAACCAGCGCAGACTTCTATTGATTGAAACGACGAGCTTATTTACTACCGGACAAGTCGGCATAGAAACTCTCTGCGATCTAAGCAAGCCGGTCAGCGCATAGCCACTCCAGCTCGGCTATGTCTACACTCAATCTCCATCGTAGATAATGTGCTCGTCGCGCATTCTGCTGCCCGATTACGATATTACTTGCAGAATCATCTATCCAGCTCGTGTTACGGTATAAGACAATATTAGTCATTGCATCGAGATAGCACCCAATAATTCGCATAGCCTGGAGCTTCACTTCCGTGACTGGACTAGTTGGTATGAATCATAATGAATCATTCTGCAGCTGAAACACGTGATCAAACAGACCCGGCAGCTACTATCGTGATATAAACCAGTAGAATAACGTCGAAAAGGGAGGTGTATATACCAGAACAGATGTTGTTAGGGCACATCGGTTATCTTAACGTTATTCGGTCCTTATCAAAACTACGTACTTGTCCCGATATATGACCAGCCATATCACCGCGCCCCTTACGCTCCCCGAAACCATGGATTTCTACGACATTGCTATGCAGCAACCAGCTGCAGTAAATCCCTGGAAGGCCCGGTTGGCGCTGAACTTCAAAGACGTTGCGTACACGACAACTTGGGTTCCCCTTCCCGACATTAGCAAGGTCCGTCGCAGCCTTGACATGCCCGCATGTCGTAAGCTTGCGGATGGCAGCGACTTCTTTACGCTCCCTATTTTGGTTGATCCGAGTACCAACTTGAAACTGGGGGATTCGTTCGATATTGCCGTCTACCTGCAAAAGGCGTACCCGACGTCAGGCGCTGGCGATTTGTTCCCTCCTCAAGAAATCGATTACACCTACGACCAGGACCTTCCCGCTTGGGCACCGCCGCTGTCGAAGCGGAAAGAGGAGGGCGCACCGTTTGACGAGTACTACAAGTTTAACATGCACATCGACAGAGCATTTAGCGCCCATGTCGGTCTCATGGGGTCCAACTTACCCCTCGACTCACAGGCAAGCAAGGACGAGCTCGTCCGCCGCGCCGGTGTAAAATCCTGGGATGATTTCGAGGTGAAGGGCCAGGCGCGGAAGCAGATGAAAGAGTCTCTGCGTATTATGCTAGGCGAGCTCGCAAAATCATTTTCGAAAGACACCACTGGGCCTTTTGTTTTAGGCACAAAGGCCAGCTATGCGGATCTTATTGTTGGCGGATGGCTATACATGATGCATAACACTGTTCCAGATAATGAGTGGCAGGAGGTCAGAAGTTGGCACGGAGGTATCTTCGGACGTTTGTATGATGGATTAGAGAAGTACGCGGAGTGGAAGAGGTGAACTTGGTATGACTGCCACATAGCTAGCTGTCCACATATAACAAGAATACAGGTAGCATTAATGGCGATTTCTCCACAAGAGTGCATTAATGAGAGGACTCGAATCCCCTACTTGGAGATAGATAATTTGAGATTAGGTCCATCAAACAAGATCTGCTCTTGTTCGCTTCACAATCGCATATGTGGACACAAATTGCGTGCGTACTTGAAAATGTAGATGCCACGTCCCCCGGTCCTAGTTCAGGGTTACAGGATTAACATAATATCCTATGTCAAAGGCTGCAATGAAATATAGTCACTCATCCGCCGTAAATGTCTCGTTATGGGTTATCCAAAACATAGATAAATCTCAGACCTGTTCGGGGTGAATATTTACGTACAGGTTCATTGGCCATATAATCCAGTCATCTGAGAGACCCAAGGAAGCAATGACGCCCGACTAGCTCATCGGTAGAGCGCCTCACTAGTAATATCTTTCAAAGAAGCTTCCTAAAAATGAGGAGGCAACAGGTTCGATTCCTGTGTTGGGCATTATTTTCTTTCCTTTTTTTTTTTTTTTTAAATCGTGTTAGCTACCTCCTCCATCCGAACTATCCAAATTTTTACCAAATGATGCTATATACATCCAGTCACTGTGCCGTTACGGAACATGATAAGGAAGGTTGCTACAAATTGTTCGTAGGGCAACCAGACTCAAAAGGGTGTGTTGGATTCAGAGCATCATGGTATTATATATTAGCTCGAAGCCCCAAGTATTTTATATTGCCAACTACAAGAGAAAACTGGGCTTGCGGGTACCAATTGAGAACTCTAAACTCGCCACGATGTATACAGACATGAAACTGAAGTGATGTGGAGTCGATGTGTGACTCTGCTACAAAGTAGTAGTCTCCCTTAATTCTAAAGCTGGAGCCTGGCATTTGCTAAGGAGGGAAATTTCAGGTACTTATAGATCTCTGTTGCAAGCTCTCTGCGTCCACTGACGTAGATAGTAGGAAGTAAGGGGCGGGTACTCGAGAGTACACATCACTCACCTTCTACTAAAAATCAACGCATTCATCCCTATGACTTGCTCTTATCTTAAGCCTTCTACTATATGTTACACGCGATTTGCATATTAAAACATGCGCGGGGGATGTGTAGATGTTTTTTTTTTGGTTCCGGTGATGCAAACGCCGATATAGTGTCAACAGATTGGAAACCTGGAGTGTCAACTGTTACGTCCTTCGAAAACGAGGGCCTAAACCTAACAAGACGCTAATCCTGCTTGCGATATCTCATGGGCGAATAGCCTGTATAAGACCATCACTTTGGCGTAGGTCGCTAGGAAGACTTCGTGGCATCTCGATATAGAGTCCGAGGTCGGCGACGGCCTTCACCTCAAGTCTCAGATGCTTTCGCGGTAGCTATCTTTTCTGCCAAGAGAGCAGTGGCTTTCACAATTAGCTCATGCTCATAGCTGTGAATCTTCTGCTCAAGATCCTCGAGGCTATCTCCTTCGTCAATTTTGATCTTTTGAACCAGAATGGGTTCGCCGCGGTCAACTTCAGCGATGACATAGTGAATCATGATTCCAGTTGTGTTGTCCTGGAGCTTCCCAGCCTTGAAATCTTCATATGCCCTGTCGATCGCGCCAGCACCATCGTAGCATCCTATAAGAATCACCGTTAGAGGCAACGACGTAGAACTCTCGACTTGTGAACGTACCCGGTAGAGCAGGGTGCAAGTTGATAATAGGCACACCAGCTTCGCTAACGGGGCGTAGAAAGTTGGTTGTTAGGACATGCATCCAACCAGCCAGAACAATCAGATCAGGCTTGTCCCTAAGTATGCGCTCTGCAAGGGCGGTATCGTATCTCAAGCGGGCTTCCTTTAGCTTGGCCGGGTCCTTTTCTCCGAGTGCGTGGTACCCATCCTTCACTAGGTTGAAGTAATCGGTGGGAATGCCGGCCTTCTCGGCCCGCGTGGTGGCGAATGCATTCTTCCTATTCACCGTGACTTTGACTATCTTGCCCCGTATGCTGTCAGATGCATCGGAGGCACACGAGTCGATAAGTGCCTGCAGGTTGGTGCCATTCCCACTACACAGTACCGATATTCGCGCCTCGGACATTGTGATGGTAGGATTTTTTTTTTTTTTTTTTTTTTTACACAGATTGGCCGTGTCTGGTAGTTCGGAGGATGAGCCAATGGGGATTGGGTTGAGTTGTACTGCTTCCAAGTTCCAAGCCAGACCCATGGATCAAGATCAAAAAGCAAAAAAGAGCGCCACCGCTTGCTGTCTTGCAGACTCCAGAGCGGTGTGAAATCTGGCAGCAGTTAACTGGCGGTTGATCTCTGGTGGATCGGAGAAAAAGTGGGATGAGCTTGTTGCTTGTCCCCGGCTGCCCGAACCAATTGGTCTTTTCTAATTATCTATTAGATGACTGGCTGGCTATCTTGAGCGATGGCAGATACGAAGGTTATGATGCTATGCTGCTTGTGTTCTCTATTCTAGCCCGATGATTTCTGTCAACTTCCCAGCTTCTTTCTGGTGCTTGTTTCGAATACGGACTGTAAGAACTGCTAGTACCTACCTTATGTACATGTAGGTACATATAGGCATCTTCCATACATGTTGGTATTATATAGTACCTACCAATACAGATGTAGGTGCAAACAAACTTGGAAGTACAATACTGGCAAGCTCCGGCCCGTATGTACATGCTACCCCTCCAAGCAGATCGACGTTAGTGCCAGTAGGAAACATCGAGGGGGTTGTTTAGGTACACACGAGTAGTGTATGCAACGCTACGTAGGACCTGCATTTTTTAGCCCAGCGCAACAACCTTGGTCCATATTCGATCGTAAAAGCCATTGCAGCCCTATTTCTCCTCCGTCCTTCGTTTCTCTTCTTCCCAACCCTCAACACCATCCTTTTCAAACCCGGCTGACCGGATGGAGGTGTGGTGAAGTCTTTCTTGTGTCGACCACCAACTTGGAACTCTACCTGGCGTTGCGTCAGTGGAGCGACGACCTAAAAAGTCAAACAGCCAGGGGATAAGGCAAATCGGCATTAACCCCTGGGCTTTTGACGGATCGTCATAACAACTTTTCTTTACTCCGACAAGGAAAACCAAAAAAAAAAAAAAAAGTCGACTACTTGCAAACACTTCACCAATCTCGATATTTTTATTCCGCTAGACGTCTCAGCACTCTTTCTTTGTATTTCTTTCAAGAATCCTGTTGCCTCGAGTTCTTCAATACGACGTCTTCGTACGTCTGTTCGCCTAAACTCTCGACCAATTGGTGGTGAAAGAGAACTGGTACGTACATACGTAATTCGGCTACGACCAGGTAGCTACCTAGCTCTGCCCCCTTTTAGTGGATTCGCCTTGTCCGGGTCATCTAATTTTAAAAATCTACTTGTCCAGTTCTAACTTCGGTCCTCGTAACAGATCTTTCTTACACCCCAACGGCGACGGCAACACAATCACAAACATATTTTGCGTTCCCACGCTTCTTGAGCTTCTTGACTGAACACCTACTCTGCTCGCCCACTCTTTGACTCGACTTTAGTCTCACGTTCACAATAACCCGTTATCTCTTCCATCAACACTCCGCAAGCCGCGCGTCGTGACACAACTCATAAAAGCACCCTTTCCCGCAACATTGAATTGCAGTATACATTTCACTCGACATAATGGCTCGTATTCAGATTCCTCTTGACGTCCTGACGTCGCGCCTGAACATTCAGGATCGCTTCGCAGGTTTTCGCAACACCTCTCTCTCCAGCAGGTTCGCCAATATGCGCCCTGTCAGCGAGTTCCTCGACTTCAAGCGCCTTTCTAAGCCTGCCAACTTCGGAGAAGTCCAGTCGCGTGTTAATTACAACCTGGGCACCTTCTCCAGCAACTACGCTTTGGTATTCGTGCTCCTTAGCATCTACGCCTTGATTACGAATCCCCTTCTACTCTTCGATATCGTACTCCTAGTTGCCGGACTGTGGCTTCTTGGCCGGCTCGGCGGACAAGATCTCGTCATTGGCACCTTCCATGCCACGTCCTCACAGCTGTACACCGGCTTGCTAGTTACCTGCGGTCTTCTATTTCTCATTGCGTCGCCTTTCAGCACCGTCCTATGGTTGATTGGCGCAAGTGGCGTGGTCATTGTTGGCCACGCTTCCTTCATGGACAAGCCGATCGATGAGGCTTTTTCCGGGGAGGCGGTCTAGGTGGTCGGCCGCGAGCTCCCAAATTTGCGCCCCAATGGGGAAGACCATCGAGGCGCCCGAGGGGATGGGATGAAGAAGAGGAAGATAATATGTGGAATTCCGGGCGCCGAGTTGTGGAAGAGATAGATAGTGATTCAGATACGCAAGGCGCTGATCTGGCAATGACAAATAGACGTTTCGCTAGTGATCCACTTCGGTTCACTGGCATAGACTTGGGTGGTGGTGGCGGCAGCCAGCCGCGAACCGGTCATACTTATCAGCAATCAGATCAAGGCGAGTCGACGGAGGATGATTCGCAAGTTACGTCGGAAGAAGATACGGATGACGAAAACCAGGCTGCTAGGAGGGAGTTGGATGAGGCTTTGGTGCAGTCTGCTCTTGCAAGGATACGAAAAGCACAGGCGAAGGGCAAGCAAGACGTCAAACTGAACAAGCAGGAACTTGCAGCTCTTGAACGGAGGCGGAAGCGTTTAGAGGCCGAGGCTGAAGCAAAGAGACGGGGCGATGGCGATCGAAGGCAACGTAAAGACAAGGACCAGCGGTACGCTGTCCCGCTCGCACAATTCGATGCTCCGCCACGTAATGCCTTACCATCAACCGTAGACCAAGCCCAGCAGGCTCTTGGACCTCCGATGGGACGGTTCCCTCCACCTACCGCAAACCGTGCCCGACCTCGTTCAGGTACATCATCGACCTCGTCTACTTACCGTCCTCAATCTCGAGCGCAAGATTCATCGCCTTTCGATTATCAATATGTACACGCACCTCCCAACCAACGCCACATTTCCGATCCTACTGCAAAACCCTCATCACACTTATCTCTACCACGTGAGGATGAGTGGAGACCGTCATCGTCCTCTTCTCGTGAATACCGAGACCCCTTCCAGTACCAGACCGCGGGCCCACAAGCGCCTTACATGAACATGAATAGCGTTGCGGCGGCTAGACTGAGTGCCACTGGTTCTTCGGACCCAACTCTTAGTACAACGCGCAAGGCTGTCCCTCCTACAACTAGGAGCAGCTCAAGGCGACCGAGGAGCAGACTGGATATGAATGAAGAGGAAATGGAGGATGAGACAAGTAGTGATGAAGGGACAAACGGCGCAAGAGTTGCTAGAGATAGTGGCCGAGAGGAGATCGTTGTCCAAGAGTCTCCTTCCCCCGAGCCTGAACGGCCCAGGGCGAAAAAGTCTTCATCTAGTCAACCAGCTACGAAGCGGAAATCGGGCGGCAAGAAACGAAAAGGGAAATGAAATAGATAAGCCAGGTAATTCCGCTCATCCTAGTAAGCATACGCATATAATATGAAAAATTGATA